CCACCCCCTGTTGTGGTGTCATCGACATCTGTCTCCGGGATCTCACGCGGAGCAGTTCGTGCTCTTTTGGCATCTGGCAGCACCTCAAATGCTTTGCATTGAAGACGACACACACACACACACTCAATTGAGGATGTCAATTGTGACTGAAATGTTATTATTTATTCTTGAAGCTGAAGCGAAAATGTAGTGTTGCTCCCAGCTGCTGCTGCTGCAGCAGTTCCTCTTGACTTCGTCTTCTGATTTCGCTTCTGAAGCTTCTGAAATGTCCTGGCAGGTTGGTCCACGGGATGTTCCTGCTTGTCCTTGACCATTCTTGTTTCAAGTTCCTGAGTCAAAGTGGTACGTGTTGGCACTACAGGGCAGACTGCAAATCAAATCAATGCGGAATTCGAGTCCAGGCACATCTGAATGGAAGCCCAATCAGTCTGCCCTGCAAATTGGTCGGTCCATGTGTTCCAAGCATTTTGCAATGCTGTCTTCCATTCATCCGACGACCAACCAATGGACGGCAGGAGATGCTTCTGCTTCCTGATGCACACTTTGGCAGAACCATGGATTGCATTTAAATATTTACATATTACAACCTCAAAACAACATTCGAAAATCTGAAGCTGCTCAGCGACACGTGATTGCCATTGGCGAAGTCGATATTGTGCTGTTGATCGGCAGCGATGGCACTGTGATCTTTGTTTCTGTGCTTCTGGACTAAAGTGTCGAACCATGCGACGCATTCGATGCCACAGACCTGCACTGACAGCTGATACTTACAAAAACTAGACAATTGAGTGTCACCTGGACCAATGAGTCAATTCAGCACAGCGACTTGGAAGAGAGCCATGACCAACGCAATCATGGCACACGTCCTGTGGTAGCCCGCCGAACAGCAGATCCTGACAATTGAAGGACCACATAATGGGTTATAATTATCCTAGTCCCTGAACCTAAAAAATCCTCCAAGACCTTCAGCATTCAAAGACTCGAGAAGCCTGAGCAACTTGTCGGGCAAATTGAGGATGAAGTGGAGCGTCTTGAGCGCTGCGGGATGACGATACACCTCGGTCATTAGGGTGAATTATTATTAAAATTAAAATTAATTATTATACAACTCGATTCATGAAGCAACACCTGTTCGACCAGGCACCTGTTCCATGATATGCTGGTATAGGCCACATTCTCTGCCAAACCTTCCTCCTTCGGCCTCCCTTGGCTTCCATCCATGATTGTCACTGTCACTGCCCTCAATTGTCAATTGAGTGAAACTGAAATGAATGAAAAATGTACAAATGTCATGAAGCTTCGACACGTGCATTGACAGATGCAAGCGAACCTCCCATGTGTTAGAAAAGTTACATTCCCTGTCCAACCTCTCCAACAAGTCTGTCATCTGACGTGATGGACGATTTCCATGTTGGGCAACCCCATAACCAACGATCACCACTCTCTTCGGCCAAACGTAGGTTTTGCCGCCCAGGAAAACTGACCTCGAAGTGTTGGAGCAGAAAGCAGCTGCCGAAGAGCTCGGGTTGTCAATAGAGCTCACATCATCAGTGGCATCAATAGCCGGTTCGCGGTCTCTTGTTTCTCTCGGGGTCCTTCCACTTGCGTCCCCAATCGTCCGAGTCGTCTTCTTCTTTGCCTCGCCCCAAGTCACCGGAACTTTTCGTTGAGGCGTCTGCTTTCTTGCTGCTGTAGTTGCCGACATCGAATTGGCTGTATACTATCCCCAAGCTTTGATTGTGCCTCGAATGAACACGGAATTGTAATGATGAAAGGTTAAACGCAAAAAAAAGGGCTGCATGAATCTTTGCCAAAGTGCTGTCTAACGTTGTTGTTACAGGCTGACAGAATCCAGGCTTCTGGTTTGTTGATGCCGCCTTTTGACCGATTGAAAGATCTCCTCAAATGTTGTTGCATTGAAACAATGACATGTCAGGTAGCAAATTATTCTCAATTGGAAATTGTCTGAAATGTACTGCAGGTGTCACAAGATCACCAGCCTTTCTCGGGCAGAGCAAATAGAGCAAGTAGATTGCTTGCTGTGCTTTCCGGAGATCCTGGCCCTGCTCCTCGAGACACAATTCCTCAGGGAGATGCTGGAGGGCCACCCTCGACATAGCACAACTTGAGCCAGAACTGCAGCATTAGGTTACAAGGGGCTCACAATCAATCACCAAGCAAGCTGACACACACACACACACACACTCACTGAGCCTTCCGCGCAAATATCGCTCACATGACTTCTGAAACGACTTCACCTGGCAAAATGCAAATTTCATGCCAGCCCTGCCCCCCCCCCCCGCTCTGTCAAAACATGCCAGGCAGACCTTGCCATTGATGCTACCACAATAGTTATACTACCGCAAATCATGCTACCACAATTGTTGCTACCACAATTGACAAATTGATGCTACCAGAACTGATGCTACCAGAATTGATGCCACTGCAAAATCGAATCAACCAAGCCAAGCAATGCCATGCTGACTACCACAGTTGCTGCTACCAGAACTGATGGTATCAGAATTGATGCCACCGCAAAATCGAATCAGATGCCACCGCAACAATCGAAGCAATCAAGCCATGCAATGCCATGCTGACTACCACCATTGACATTGATTGATGCTACCAGAATTGATGCCACTGCAGCATCGAATCAACCAAGCCAAGCAATGCCATGCTGACTACCACAATTGATTGATGCTACCAGAATTGATGCCACTGCAGAATCGAATCAACCAAGCCAAGCAATGCCATGCCGACACAGTAACGGCCTCCCCAGCGTCTTTGCAAACACGAGCGTGCTCTGACAGTCATGCGGACTGGAGACTTCTTATTTAAATGCCACCCCCATTCGGCCAAGATGGGGTCACCCTGCTGAGTATGCGCCGGCAAATCAGGGCCTTGGACGTCGTGCTTGCCTTCTTTGCCCTATGCGGAGCGCTGAAATCCAATTGCCTTGCATACCGGCCCGCAAGAGGACAGGTCATGCTCGTCATCGAGTGCACCGGAATCGCTGCGCGACGCGCCGGTTACTGAAGACCTGTCAATGAGGCACAGCATAAGATGCCATGCGGGGGGCCATGCCGGCAAGCAGCAGTGATCGAAGTTAATATTTCGACCGTGGTGTGGGTACGTGGCATAGTATTTATTAGAAGCGAGGCCTTCCCTGCAATCTGTGTGCATTTCACCCCGCGGCGGACACACCACCTGGCTGGACAGGCGAGCAGCACACAGAGTAAATCCTCAGCGCCCGGCCAGCGACGCTGTCCCGCACGGATCAAGGACCCATTGCTCACGTGGTCCGAGCCCGACTGGAGCGGTCTCTAAGACCACTCTGAGCTGGGGCGTGCAGGATGGGTAGGGCGAGTCGAACCAAGCCAAGCAAGCCAACCAAGCAACCAAGCCAACCAAGCAGTGGCATGTGACAAAGGACCATGTTTCAGCTTCCAACACATCCGGCTTGGACAGAAGCGAACACCATCGCTCAATACATCCGGCTTGGACAAATGCAAAAATGTTTGGCAAAAAAGGGTTTCCTCACGCTGGCTTCCCAGTGTGCTTTAAAATGTTTTGGTCAACGGCCGTGCCCCGGCACTGAAATTCCTAATAAAATACATAAATAAGCTAATACTACAACAGCTTGAAACCTTAAATCGGTATATTGAACTGCACTATTGAGGAAATGGGTTTTGGCCTTCAAACCCCCCTGATCCAGCCCCCAAGGATCCAACCCTCAAAACGAGTGTGTGGAAAATAGGAATATTATATATATATATATATATATATATATACACACACACGTATATATATATATATATATATATATATACGGATCCACGACTAGCACAACACCCCCTGGGCTTGGCCTCTGTTGGAGCCGTCGCAGCTCGCTGCGTGCCGTTGCCCAGTTCCGCAGAATCTGCCACGGGAGTGTCCTTGAATAGAGGATATGATGTACGAAGCATTTATAAATTGCATGATGAAAGAATTTGCAAGATCGCTGCTGACGTCCTTGTGCAAAACTTCTGGCTTGGAAGCTTTTGCCGCCTGATTGATTTGCTTAAGGGAAGACCATATCACGATATGATGTATACTACAGCATGTCTCTGCCGGCTGCTTTCGGCACCTTTCCCGGTGTCTCGGCTTCGGAAGCTCCAGGACACTTCTTCACAGCACCTTTTCCTTCACCCGGCTTCTTCGACGCCTTCATACAAGGCATATGATACGTGAAGTGCATGATGCTCTGATCCTTGCTATGTGCATGTGTCAACATCTATAGCAGAGCACATGTCGAAGGCTAGCCTCGGCTTGCGGCTTGGAAGCTTTCGGAGCAACAGCAGCAGCTTCCGCAGTCTTAGCCACCTTTCCCGTAGTTTCAGCTTCGGAAGCTCCAGGTCGCTTCTTCTCCACCCCACTTCCATGACCCGGCTTCTTCGACACCTTCGGATACAATTCATGATATCACATGCAAAGCACAGGAGCTCTGCCAGCGGCAAGTGCCAACACTAAGCACATTTGTAAATCACCCAAGACCTCCTTTAGCCCTCTCAGAAGCCTTGTGCACAGAGTCATTGTGAAGAGTGCAGTGACAATCGCACTGGATCGCGAAGCCCTTTCGGAGCAAAAGTCCGGAGCACATATTGTGCTTTTACATGGTAGCGGAGCCGCTACGATCCTGATTTCGGGAATCTCAGGTGTGCGGCTCCACCGTCAGGGGACAGGACCCGAATCCCCACCGTAGGGCCCCGAGCAAGGCAAAGTGCCTTAGGAAAGCGCGAGCCTTTGGCTCCATAGCCCCTCGCGTGCCGTGCTTCTTTGGAGCTGCCTTGGGCAGCTGCGGCGGCTGCTGTGGTAGCCAGCCGGTGCCCCACCTTCTTCCGGGACGACCAAGGGCATCTCCGTTGATAAAGTCGAAGGTGGCTGCGCGAGCCAGGGTGCGTCCCCGCTCGCAGTTGCTGGCTTTGCTGGGAGCCAGGGCTGTTGCCCCGCTCCTTTGGAAAATGTCAGCTGGAGCAGCCACGGCGGCAGCAGCGGCGGCGCAAGCGGCGCAGGCCGTGCTGGAGACTTCGGAGAGCTACCGGCGAAGCGATGTGCTTCGCACTTTGATCCAGAAGCCGGACGTGTTCCGGCCGGACACCCGTGAGCAAGAAGTGGAGCAGTGGAGCGAGTGGAAGCACATGATCAAGAACTACTTGTCGGTGGTGGACACCAAGATGCTGGAGGACATGGAGACCATCGAGAAATCCCCGACAAGGCCCTCAACGGTGGATGGAATGGATGCTGCGGTGCGCAAGCGCAGCATCGAGCTCTATGCCATTCTGCTTTCCTTTGTGAGGCAGAGACCGGCAAAGCTTGTGAGAGGGGTTCCCTCCAACAATGGGTTTGAAGCTTGGAGAGTGTTGGTGGGAGAAATGCAGCCGGCGACGCGTCAGAGACAACTCGCTTTGATGTCGCAGTTGGCCGGCATCCGGTTCGATGCGAACCGCAGCCTGGCCGAGCAGATCGTGAAGTACGAGGAGCTCATCAAGGAGTATGAGCGGGTGTCTGGCAGCACCTACCCCGACGATCTGCGCATAAGCTCTGTCATCCAGGCTGCCCCCACCAACTTGCAGACCCAGCTCCACCTGACGATGGACGAGAGCACCGACTACAAGGCCATCCGCGAGAAGCTGTTGGCCTATGAGAGGGCCAGCACGCGCTGGCAACCTTCTTCCGGCTTCGCCCTCCCGGCCGTCAACACCCACGGCGCGCTCAACCAGAGCGGCCCCACCGACATGGAGATCGACCGCGTGGAGAAGGGCAAGGGCGGCCACAAAGGAGGCAAGCAAGGAGGCCATAAAGGGAAGAAGGGAGAGAAAGGAAAGGGAAAGGGCAAGGAGAAAGGTGGCAAGGGCAAGAAGGGCAGCAAGGGCGGACCACCCGGCGGCTGTTACAACTGCGGTGGGCGACACTTCGTGCGAGACTGCCCTAAGGGCAAGGGCAAAGGCAAGAACCAGGTGAACCAGGAACAGCCCACAGCAGCGCCGCCACCACCAAGCAGCACCGCCCCGACAACACCGGCCCCAACGACAACGAGACCTACTACAACAAGCCAGCCACCAGCAAATTCGGTACGGCGTGTGCGGCTGGTGACCCCTCCGGACGCGAACACCACCTATGTCTTCGACATCTCCGACAACGACGTGGTGGCGGACTTCTACGACGACTTTCCGGAGGAGCCGGCCGTGCGAGCCGTGAGTGTTCGGTCCCCACCTTCAGGAGGAACCGACCAAGAGCAGGACCCCGTGACCATTGTGCTGGACCACTGGACACCGGGGCAGATGCGAGCATGGTTCCGGAGGCCATGCGTGCTATGGGGGAACCGCTGCCAGGCAACGCGGCCCCACCAAGGCTCACTGACGCCCAGGGCAACGACATCCCGACTGAGGCCCTGCGGCGATACGCCTTCGAGCTGCGAGACCACCGCGGCCAGAGCTTTATCATCAAGGAGACCTGCGTGGTTGGACGTGTGCGAGTGCCGCTGCTGGCGGCAGGGAAGCTGCTCAAGCAGGGCTGGCAGCTTGTTTCCGAAGAGGACCCGGGCTCTACAGGAGGAGCCGGGCCGAGAAGCATGATCCTGCGATCGCCGGCCGGCCTTCGCGCACCCGTGGCCTTCAAGCACAACTCTTTGGTCGTGCAGGGCGAGGTCCGCGCGATCACCGAGATTCCCCGGAGCCTCCCGCCAAAGGTGCCCAAGGTGACCATTTCGGCGGAGATGGAGGCCATGGTAGGGAACGAGGGCATGCACGTGCTGGGGAATGGCATCAAGATGCACTACCAGGCGGCAGCGACCGACTTGCTCGACCCCCGGCCGTGGTACGATGCGACCCTCTAGACCACGCTTTACCGCACCAGTGCGGGGTTTTGGCTTCAGGTGGAAAACTCGGCCGACTACCTGTGTGAAAAGAACCCTTTTACTTTGGTGACCAAGACGCCCAAGCCAAGGATCACGCTGATTGGCATGGACGCCTTCGAGGAGGGCTTCTTTCCAGAAGGAGGGGTAGCCCCCAAGCCAAGCGAACTGGTGGTCGAGAGCCACCCACGGCCACAGGCGCCGAGAACACCGGAGCCACCACAAGAAGAACCAGCAGAACGACCCGCAGAACGCCAAGGAGAACCAGCAGAACGACCCGCAGAACGCCAAGGAGAACCAGCAGAACGACCCGCAGAACGCCAAGGAGAACCAGCAGAACGACCCGATGGCCCAGGCGACGACATGGACACAGGCGAACCAGGCGACGCACAGGGCCTTCCCGGAGCCCCAGCAGGGCTCGAGCAGCACGAGCTTGAGGACTATGTGGCGGCCAATGCAGCACAGGCAGTGGAGGGCATAGACCGGCGAGATCCAGTACCACGGGGACAGCCAGAAGGTGCCCCAGATGATGCGGCAGTCGCCCTCCACAACCTCATGCACATGCCTTTTGCGAGCTGGTGCGAGGCCTGCGTCCGCACGAGAAGCCGGGGCGACAGGCACAGCCAAGGTGCCAACAGGGAGGTTCGCCTCCCGATCTTGCAGGTCGACTTCTACTTCGCCTCGTTGGAAGAAGGCGGCGAGCGGCCGAATCCCGAGGGCGAGCAGGAGAACTGCATACTTATCGGCGTCGACCTGGATACCAAGATGGTTTTGGCGGTGCCCGGGCCCAACAAAGGAGCTGTCATCCTGGCCAAGGCGACCGAGGAGATCGTCCGGTTCACCCTGGCGTTGCACCAAGAGCAGGCGGTCATCGTACAATCGGACGGTGAGCCCGCCATCAAGGCAGTTGTGCGGGCCGTTGCCGCAGCAAGGGCCAGACTTGGCCGAAAGACCGTGCAGCGCACCACGCCCGTCGCCGCGCACGAGTCCAATGGAGCGGCGGAGCGCACGGTGCAGACCATCAGGCGCCTAGTAGGTGCCTGCATGTTGCTGGGCTTTGAGCTGCAGAAAGGGAAGCTGGCGCCGGACACCCCGCTGAAGATGTGGAGCCAGGTGCACGCAGCCTTCGTGCGCAACAGGTTTCATGTGATACCGGGGCTCCAGCAGACCCCGTTCGAGATCGCGTTTGGAGGGAAACGCTTCGACCAGAAGCTCTGCGAGTTTGGGGACACCGTCTACGGCCAGGTTTTCCGAACCAACAAGGCGGAGCCTAGATGGGTCAAAGCGATCTGGGTGGGGATGAACCCCCACAGCGGCGCCAACAACCTCATGACGGTCTACGGGCACATCCAGAGCGCCTCTGTTCGCCGAGCGGCCCCGGACCAGCAGCTGACGGCCGACCAGATCAAGGAGGGCGGCTACATTGGCTGGCCTTGGAACAAGGACTTCGTGGAGAAACCAGCCCGGCGAAAGAAGCGCGAGACAAGGACAGCCGAGGCCGCTCCACGGCTGGAGCCTGGAGTTTCTCTACCTCTTGGAGCTCCTGCCGGGCACCCTCTTCTACCAGAGGAGGACAGCGAGGCCGAGCAAGTTGAGAAGGCAGCCCGGAACCGGGCAGACGGCGGCAGCTCAGAGGAACTGTTGCCAGCAACGCCGCCGAGATCACCGACAACACCGGCGACACCACCAGACCTGCAGTCGCCCACGGAGGCGGCAGCCAGCGGAAAGAGGAAAGCCGAGGAAGCCGAGCCGTTCACGCCCTACAGCCCGTCGTTTCCCTCATGGATGGCAAGCTCTGGAGAGCAGCAGGCCAGCCCGCCAAAGCGGAAGGCCGAGGCCGAACGGTGTGAAAAGCGCAAGGCGGAGGAAATGGCCCAGGGAAACCCGAGCAGCACTGCAGTGATAGCAGCGACGGCGGCGGCTCAATCAGGATGGTGGAGACGGTGGACGCTGAGTGGGCCGAGCACGGCCCGGAGATCGAGGCGGAGATCGCGGCCGACACCCAGGAATCGGCCGAGGATCCGCCAAACCTTAGCGACGATGAGCTGGCGGTGCTGGACGACGCCGCCGAGCTGGAGGAGATCGAGAGGCTGGAGAAAATGACCGTTTTGGTCGACCCTGTGGCCGGGGAGGAAGCCGAGCACCTGAGCACCGTCTTCGTCAAGACCTGGAAGTACGACAAGGCCCGGGGCTGGTTCAGGCGGGCACGTGTGGTGGCGCGCCAGTATAAGTGGAGTGTGGAGATGGCCGAGGAAGACACGTTCTCCCCGGCATGGGTGACCACGCTGGCCCGGATGGTGCCACTGCTCGCACAGCAGTGGAACACCCCTGTGTGGGTGATGGACATCAAGGACGCGTTCCTCCAGGTGAAACAGCCGGCCGACGAGCCCGTCCTTGTCACCTCCCCCCGGTCCTACACGGCAAAGTTCGGGCAAGCACGCCAGTGGAAGCTAGGCCGGGTGCTGCCAGGGCAAAGGAAAGGATCACTGAGCGGCGATGTGGCCGAGGACCTGGAGAGCATGGAGGAGGTGCCCACACTTTTCAGGGCAAGGGCCGGGAACTACGCGGCCCAGATCCACGTGGACGACATCACCAGCACCGGGGCCCCCGAGATCCAGGAGAAGATCCAGAAGACCCTGGAGAGCAAGTACCAGGTGAAGGTCAATGGGCCCTTCCACTCGCCGGGGGACATGTATGAGTTCCTACGGCGACGCCACCAGTTCGAGCCCGACGGCTCGATCACAATAAGGGCGGCCACGCGGTTCTACCAGGACCTCTACGAGCTGGCCGGGCGACCCAAGAAAAGGAGCACACCAGGACCCAGCGGTAAGGAGGACATGTTCGACCTCGACAACACCAAGGCCCTCGAGAGCGGCGAGGCGACCCTCTACCGGACCATGCTGGGGAAGCTCCTTTACATGTCAGCGGAGAGGCCGGACTGCCAAGCAGCTATCCAATACCTCTCGGGCAAGGCGTCGGCACCCACCGAACGAGCAGCCAAGCTCCTGCGGCACCTCGTGGGCTACATGTGGGAGAATCAAGGGTATGGAGTGAAGCTCAAGCTCCACCCCGGCCGGTCAGTGATGCAGCTGACGGGCGACCACCAAGGAGGCCCAGGAGGCGAGGAGCACGAGCACTTGATCGAAGGCTTCTCGGACAGCAACTTCGCAAATGACCGAACTACCCGGCGGAGTCTGTCATCAGGCCAGATCTTTATCGGCCAAGCCCTCGCATATTCCTTTGTCCGTGGACAAAAGGTGGTGACCTTGAGCAGCGGGGAAGCCGAGCTGGTGGCGCTGACGCAAACCACCTCGGAGTGCATCTTGGTCAAGAAGGCTTGGGAGTTTTTGGTCCAGCAGGAAGCTACCCTGACGATGCGGTCCGACTCCTCCGTTGCACGGGCGATAGCCTCACGGCTTGGGGTCGGAAGAGTGAGGCACCTGCAAACCTCGTGCCTTTGGATCCAGCAATGGGTGGCGCAGCACCTCTTGAAGGTGCTGGCGGTCCCGACCGAGTTCAACCCGGCAGACCTCGGAACAAAATGCTTTACCGCGCGACGGCTGCGTCTGCTGTGCTACCTGGTGGGCTTGGTGCACGACAATGGGGAGCACGTCGGCCAGAACGAGTTCCGGGAGGCGACGGCCAGACGAGCAGGGCAAGGAGACCGCAACAACGATGTGGTGGTGCGGCTGGTGCAGCTTTTGGCTGCGGTCACCCTGCAAGGGTGCGAGTTTGGGCCGGCAGGCCCAGGCGAGCTCTTTGATGACCTCGCCTCGTTGATCTACGTTGTGATCCTGGTCTCGGTGCGCTACTTTTGGTTTGTTGGCTTGCTGGCCGTGGCTTGGTGGCTGGGGAGACGGTCAAGTGGGCAGCCAGCCCAAGAGGCGCCCCAGCAGAAAGGACGAGGAAAAGGCAAGCGAGCCAACCGAAGGACAGCCAACAAGATGAGCCAGGAGGCGACCGCCGACGAGGACCAGGAGGCAACCACCCACGAGAACCAGGAGGCGACCACCGATGGGGACCAGAGCGAGATCACCAACGAGGAGGCGATCTACCACGGCAGCCTGGAGGGCATCAACTTCGAAGAGCCTGGTGAGCCCACAGGCTCAACAGCGACTGCTGGCTTGGGGCTTGAGCCGGCTGCGGGGAATTCGCCAGCAGCCCTAGATCCTGAAGTGGCGCAGCGGATCCAGGACTGGATGGTGGAGAATGCGCTCCCTATGTTGGGTGTTGAGGCACGGCCTTCGGGAGCCACGACCTCTGGAGCGAGCTCTTCCAGTACTACCCCAATGCCACTTCCAGTGCCCTCTACGTCCGGGAGAAGCAGCAACCACAAGATCGAGCAGGCTCGTGAGCGAGGAAAATTCCTGCGAGATGCAAAGCATTTCCTCCCGGAGCAGGAGCTTGCTGAGTTTGTTTTTATCGCCTCCCACGGCTATGCCTACCATCGGGAGGGCTGTGGAGATTTGAGATGTGCTCGCCGAACCACACGCATGACGGTCAGGCGAGCAATTCAGGCTGGCAAGGTGCCCTGTAAGCACTGCTTCCAAGAGCACTGGGAGTACAGTCGAGGGCAACGGTGATTTTAGTGTAGAGCCACAGTTGCCTGCAGCTCCACAGGAGGCGTGTAAATCACCCAAGACCTCCTTTAGCCCTCTCAGAAGCCTTGTGCACAGAGTCATTGTGAAGAGTGCAGTGACAATCGCACTGGATCGCGAAGCCCTTTCGGAGCAAAAGTCCGGAGCACATATTGTGCTTTTACAACATTTCAATGCCCAGCCTCGGCCGCTTGTGGCTTGGAAGCTTTGGGAGCAACAGCAGCTGCTTCTGGCGTCTTAGCCACCTTTCCCGGAGCTGAGGCTTCGGAACCTCGTTTCTTCTCCACACCACTTCCATCGCCCAGCTTCTTGGACACTTGAATACAGGGAATATGATAAGTTCGCCATTTCCATATCAAGGCCCAGCCTCGGCTTGCGGCTTGGAAGCTTTGGGAGCAACAGCAGCCACTTGTGGAGTCCTAGCCACCTTTTCCGGAGCTGAAGCTTCAGAAGCTCGCTTCTTCTCCAGACCACTTCCATCGCCCGGCTTCTTGGATCCCTGAATACATGTGATCCTTTACACACATGCATGAAAGTGAGCCATCTGCGTACGTCTAGGCACCAAGCCGCGACCAAGCACCTATCAAGGCCCAGCCTCGGCTTTGGGTGTGGAAGCTTTTGGAGCAACAGCAGCCACTTGTGGAGTCTTAGTTGAAAACAGCAAGACAAGGTGCAATGCAACCGTCTTTTGTCTTGAGCCAAATACGTCGATCAAGTCAGCACTTAGCTACACTTATCATGGCCTTCACATATGTACATGAAATGGTACTGGGAAGCGTGTTTCAACAACTCCCCCCTTAAGTGAGCCTAAGTGCGTGACTGTACAACATGCATCGCGGCAAATGCCGTCAATGCAAGATACGACACGGAGTGAGACGTCAGAAGTGAAACCCAAGCTCACGCAGATACTGCGCATCTGCACTGGACAGCACATATCTGGGTCTCGAACGGTGAATGCGACTACAACAACGCGCATATCCTGCTTGGCAGATTGGCAAGGAGTAGTGCAATGCCATTTCCGCGGATCAAAGACGCAGGGATTGGTAAGATACATGCCCTTTAGGCCCCAACCCAAAGGATCTAGGTCACCACCCTGAGCATCATGCAACCAAACCGAACCGGAGTTAGGCGTAAGGGTGCACAGCAGGTTGACAGATCCTGGCCGATTCCACGAATCACGGTGCATTGGGGCTCGCACGCCCTGAGACAGTGTGACGGTGGTAAACGTGTGGCATGGACTAATAGAACAAATGTATCTGCACAGTGCCCGACACGTGTGAGGGAACTGGCGCGTGAATGATCTTACACCCGCAAGGCGAGTGCCGCGTGAAAATGCCCCTACACTAAATGCATGTGCACGGGACTTGTCGTCTGCACGATCAGCATTACCATACGGTAGGTAGGACAACAACTGCACAAGATCTTGCTTGGAAACGCGTTGAGGTAGTTGTAGTGCGAAACGTTCTGCTGACGCGATGAACGGTTTGACGACAACAAGAGCATGCTCAGGCTGACCCTGTTCGAAGCACAACTGCTGCAACATGTGACCCCATTCGCATGGCACTATTACCTTCGTAAGGCCATTTGCGATCTGATCCTTAGTATGACAATACCTACAAGAGATATCATCACCTGCAAGGACGTCAGCCATGGAGGCCACGTTTATCCGGTGCACCCGACCCATGTGTCGGAGCTTTGCAGAATACCCTGCTTTCAGTATCTTGATCAGGGCTTCGTTGTCCTGTTCAAAGACTACCGGAATTGATTGCTGCAGTAGTAAGGAAACGGTCTCTTGAACATTTAGAGTTTCACCGAAAAGCGCGGAGGCCATCGAAATGGCCTCGGCCTCAGGAGTGGACCTTGCTACGGAGGACTGTTTCTTTTCTTACTGTGTTTATGGTCAAGAAAACCCCGGAGGTGCTCTTTGCTGATACCGGACACGCGCCGAAGTCAGCGTCGGTATACACAGCTACAGAAACCTCACCCTGCTTACCTACTCTACCGACCAAATTCAATGACGGTGTATGACATAAGTAAGACATTAGGCGGAAGAGCTGTTTGTCGTCTGCTCGTGTCCATCGAGATATCTTCGTAGCGAGACGCGCTACAATGAAACTCAAATCGGGACGATTCAACCGCGCTAGCCAGAGCGTCTTCATAAGGATTTTTGCGGCATCTTGATGCAGGTGGCCCTGTTCTTCAAAATCCTGATCGGAAAACGACGCTTCATTTATCATAGGAGCACATCACATGTCTCTTCCAAGCGGGCCGCTTCAGCATTGCAGGAAAAGTACAAGAAAACCATGGAACATGTCAAAAACATAGGCAAAGCTTGTAAAGGCTCAGAAAAGCTATAAAAAGCTATAAATAGCTAAAAAAGACTAATAATTTCCTGCAGTGACGTCTCGATTGGACCTGTGGCTTTGGGTTCAGGAGTTCAGGGTTTGGAGATAGTGGCGAGGGTTTTGGGATGAAGATAAAGGGCTCAGGGTGGCGGATTTCGGATGTATGATTGAAGGTTCTGTTTGGTGCTTTAGGGTTGGCAGTTAGTTGAGCGGGGGATTTTTCTTGGAATTATGTGGCATGCAGTGCGTTTTCCAATCCACTAGAAAAAGCTAGAAAAAGCTAGAAAAAGCTAGATAAAGCTAGAAAAAACTAGAAAAAGCTAGAAAAAGCTAGATAAAGCTAGAAAAAGCTAGAAAAAGCTAGATTTTTCCTGATTTGGGGCCGGGGGCCCGGCTAAGGAATTCCATTGAAAAGCTAGGCAAGGCTAGAAAAGGCTACAAAAAGCTTGGCATGCTTGAGCCACCTGAGGACCCAGTTTATCACATGTTCAGCGAAGGATTTTACCAGGATTTATTTAGCTCCTTTAATGGTGCCCCGGCTGCGAAGAAGCCTACTTAGAAGAAGCATTAGATGCGCCCCTAAGAATTTAGGCTGGGGGTGGGGACAGGCTTAAGTTGCTTACGCTCAGTCTGAGTCAGCTCACAATAGAAATCAACGGCCTGCTTGGCAAAAGAGTCCATAGCAAAAGTCATCTGCGTGAATTGCTCACATACAACGCATGAATGATGACGACCGATGATCCTAAGACCCTGCTGCTCAATGAACGTGGGCAGATCAAGCTTAACCAACGACCCCAACTCCTTCCAGAAGTCATCGTGCAATCCCGTCGGTCCTGCTAGAACCAGGTCATCTACGTAGATGCACAACAGTAGAACTTGGCCCTTTCGGGTAAATACCCAGTTGGACGGGTATGATTGCAGTTCCTTACCGCCTAATTCGCGCAGCTTGGAGGCGAGGTGTTCCTCCCAAAGCTTGCCAGCCAACGGATGGCCGTAGAGCGATTTGCGTAGTCTGACCACTACCCGATCACCCTTCTTGAACCGCTGATGCCACTCTTCCAGCCACAACTCGGGTGGCAGTGCCACCCAAGTTTCCTCAGGTAGGACTGACTGGAGAAAAGCCTGAATGGCATCGCTGGATGAAGCTGTGTTGCCAGGCATGCAAGCAAACCACAGGGCAACATTCAAAGCGGTGATGGCAGTAGGGTTAGTGGCAGTGTCGGTGAACTGCACCAGGTTGCCAAGTTCGTCGTATATCTTATCCCCGCGATAGACAACTCTGCCCTTGAACTTACGAAATTCCTCGGGCAGTTCGGAGAACTTTTCCCCGCACAGTGTCAAGATGTCTGCAATCTTGACATTCCTGTTTGTCTGACGCGCTTCCCGCTTTAAGTCACCTAGCAAACGCGCGGTGCTATCGTCCCAGGTCTCGTTGTTCCGTAAGCCCGCTGCTTCGGCTTTCACAGCTTCGACAGCTTTTGGGTTCGCGGTCCATTCTTTCCTGGGAAGATTGCGCGTGACGAATGCATGCGAGTGATTGGGAGCGAAGGTGTGAAGCTTGTTGGGATAATACGACTCGATGATAGCCTTTGCCATCTTAGACGAGTGGGAGGTTGTCTGCACAGCGACAGTCTCATGAACGTGTGATTGGTCACACTGGTACTGCGACAATGTTTCCAATGTTCTGATGCAGTTAGTGCTAACGACCAATGGTAGCTTGACAGGATAGTGCTTTCCGCAAGCCCCAAACATACATCCATGACAAACAGCCCTTCTCATCACGTTCTTTTTCTCGAATTCCAACCAGATTGGGAGGTTCTGAAGTTCTGAACCCTTTGGCCATTCAACGGAAAGGCGACCAAAGTTGTCGATGCATTTTTGGAAAACCGGCAGCGCGAGCTCAAGCATCTTCTGCTCTTGGTGACGCTGTTTTGCACGCTTGCGTTTGGTTGATGCATCAGGCTTTTTCGCCTTCGGCCCTTGTGCAGCACAACGGTGTGTGTCAGGCATGGTTGCCCAAACATCACAACCCGGTAGTGCCTCAACTTGGCCTAACAACTGGTCGACGTCTTCTTGGCTGGATAAATCAAGAAGGTCGCGGTCGAGACGAACACATGTGATGTGTGACTGCTCCGCCACAACACCAACCTGTGAGTCAAGACTGCTTGGGTACTCAAACAAGACTTGGTTGACGAAGCTAGTTCTACGACAACGATTCCAATCGATGTTTGATTGTCTGAAGTCGTCATCGATTTGCAAAATGACAGCTGCATGAGTTGATCCTTCATCTTCTGCTTCGCTGGGCGAATACTCAAGGCAGTCATCCGGCACTTCTGAAACAGCTTCTTTGTTACCAAGTGATGTGTCTTTAGGAGCATAATCCTCGGGAAGCTGATCCCCGAAAAGTTCTTCAAACTCGACACGTTCAGATGTGGCCGGCGGCACTGCCGTACCATCATCCTTGCTTTTGTCATCGTCAGCAACGGTCACGGGCGGCTTCGATGGTTTCGAGATGCGGTCCGCCTTGACGAGGGCGTTGAACCGTGCTCGGCAGACGGGTGTGTGCGTCTTGGTTTCAAACGCACATGCGCCGCAGCCCGGAGTAGGTCCAAATTTGATCACCCGGTCAAGCGTTATGTATTCGTTTCGTTTACGAATTGCCTCACGACTACAAGTGATCTCCGAAAATGGAATATCCAGAGCTGTGATCTCATCCAGTGCCGCCTCCTTGAATTCAGCAAGCGCGCGGTCAGCGGCGACTCGCATCGGAAATGTTTCTTCGTCCGGAACAAACACTTCCTCAAAGGGCACAGCTACTGGAAACTCAAACCCGATAGCCTTACTCCGAAGTTTGTTGTAGTCTAAGACATACACAACACCTTTGTAGACAGACGCAGCATCCAATTTCCAGCCGGCAAACACACCTGGCAACGTACTGGCGTCAAACTTTTCACGTTTTGAGGCATCGTGAACACGGTAGTGCACAAGGCGACCTAACGCTAGCCTAGGCCCACCAAAAGGTGTACCAGTGGCCAGTTCGTAAAAGGTTGTTTGACCTTTCCATTTCACGATGTTCAAAGCATTAGCCGCGTACGCAACCGAAACCGGCCATAAGCCCTGAAGAAGGTGAAACCCGGCTCCTAAATGTGATGCTCGGGTGGTTTCTTCTAGAGTACGAATGTGCCGCTCAAGCTGTGAGTTGTGAGGCCATCGATTCTGGAGCGATGGCTCCTGCGCCCAACCAACTTGTGATATTGCTGATGTAAGAGAACGATCACAATCCGTTTTCACAAGAACGTTTGGTGTGTCCGAGGCTGCGGCTCCGACGAACTGCAGAAGATTACGCGCAGCATTCTCGGCAGTCCGCTTGCCTACATAAGCCCGCAGTAGACCCGAGAATTCGTCTCGAATAACCTGAACCGAGGGACCATCGCTGCGAGTTGGCACTATATAGTCAGTGGCCAACCGTTGTGCAAATTTGTCAACGGGTTCAAGGTTTCCTCTGTCAACCAAAGGTTCCTGTCTCTTCTTGTGCCGTCGTTGGTACATCTTGCTCCTACGGCATATGCTGCAGTAAGGGTTCTTTGGAATGTGCAGCATCTTGTGCTCAATGCTATTGGCTTGTCGCACTAATTCCTGTTCCCTACTCAGATCAACAACTTCTTCATCCTCAGGACCATCAACAGCAGGCGCATCATCATCGGGGACCGGCTCAAATGCCGTATCACCCGGAGCTACAACCTCACCATCGGGCACATCTTTAGACGAAGAAGCATGTTGAGATGCAGGCAGTGCGAATCGCGCACGATCCCGAAAGATCGGCACGAACCCTTCAAGTCGGCAAGCAAAATGAGCAGATGATTCATCGAAGTGAACTTCGGTGCCAGGTTGTAGGAAGGCGGGCATTTGTCCTGGTATCCAAACAAACGAAGGCCCTGAAGCTCAACAATCTCACCCATACTCCGAACACTTGGACAGGAGTCTAGGACATATGATTTCCATGAACCAAACGTTTCACCATCGAACCCAAGGGACTTGGAAGAAGTCACCTTTCCATTGCCTGTGGAGAAAACAACTTTGTCATCATCCCTCACTTTCTGGCTGAACTCAGTCCCTGGAATACCCTGATCAATCAACGACGAGCGAGACTCGAGTGATCGACCTGCTCCTGAATCAGCAATGAACTCATGGAAGTATGGAGCTCCAGACATGACGTTTGCTGCAACCGTTACAGTGGATGTGACAGCTGCAGGGCATGCCAACTCAGGCGACACACAAGAGAAGTAGGAACACAGCACACGAAAGGCGCGCGCAAACCACCCATGCTTGACTGTGGAAGCTTTACTGGGGGAATGTGCTTTGGCGCTACTCGGCAACACAAGTGCAACTGTCGCTGCGGCATTAGCCTTAGCATTAGCTGCAGTGGGCTTCGCCTTTGGCGGCCCAGCCTTGGGTGCCTCGTGGGAGAATGGACATGCTGTGCCGCGATTGCAATTGCCTTGTGCATAAAACTTGCACGGAATTGTCGCTTTAGCACCTGCCTTTGCTGGCTCCGTTTTTGCCTTTGGCTTTGGTTTCGGCTTTGCCTTCGGTTCGGACAGAATCTCTCTGTGTGTTGTCGCCCTTGCCTTTCCCTTTACGCTTTGGCGTAGTTGTGGGGGCAGGACTAGCAGGAGTGGGTTTAGTCTTCGGCACCGGCTTTGCTGGCGTGGCTTTCTCCTGTGGCTTGGTTGTTTTGCCTAGGAGGGCCTCCCGAATGGACTGTTCGTTCTGATCCTCTTTGAGTTCGTGGAGATGCTCGGTCAGCTTCGACCAAATCCAGCTAAAAGATCGCTTTGTCGAACCTTTCGGTGATTCCTTGATTCGCTCAATGACCCTAGCTAGACCACGATACGGTTTCAGGCGACCATACGCGAACTGAAATAAAGTCTCCTCGCTAGGCCACTCAGACTCCAACATCCCATTCAGCATGTATTCTACACTTATTTCTACACGCTCCTTGAACGTCGTCAAGTGTGCCGGGCTGTATCCTTCGAGCTGAATGCCTAACAACGTTTGCTGGGACATTGTTGTACCTCGAACCCTGTCGATCCGAAATTGCTTAGAGAACAAGGCTAAAAGAACCCTACCACACGGCTGTTGTGACTTCCGGTGGGACGTCTCAATGTAACCCTGCGCACTAACTCCGAAATCTCCCTTCAACACTTTGTTGTCTGCCATCAATGTTGCCAAGTGTGCGTCCAATCGCGGAAGACCGCCGCGATCCTGCTCGAGCTGCCTTGAAGCCTGCGCCGTAATGGATGGATCAAGGGCTGCCTGAAGCCATTTCAGGATAATCCCTGCTCCTGTTTTATCTATTGCAGCAAAGGTCGTCAGCATGGCATTACGAAAGGCACGGAAACCTCCAGCGTTCTGTGGAACGGTTGGCTTCAGGTCCTTAAGTTCTTTTGACCGATACACGTCTTCTTCTTTTATCTGGGACACTGAAGAAGGCAGGGGATGAGGCACTTCATCGTCATCCTGAATCGGATCATCATCAGGCTCCTCTGGATCACCCCCCTCGTCATCAGTTCCAATCTGAAATGCAAGAGGCGATGCAGATGGTGACCTAGCAGGAACAGGCGGAGGAGGAACGTTCGTGCAAGGGCCGGCGGGAGTGCCGTACCCATGCGATGTACCCCGGAGTGATGTAGGGAACAACACCTGAGAGGATGAAACACTTCCAGCCTTTCCGGAGCAACTGCTAGGAGCAATGGGAACTGAAGCCTGAACCTTTGGTGTTGGCTTATTCTTCCTATGACCCTTTGGGCTCAAACCAAAGCTCTGCGCAGATGCTTCAAGTCTACGTGCTGTTTCGGCGACTTGCTGCATGAGAGTTGTGATGTCTCCTACGGGTGGCTGTTGCGTATCCGCGCCATTTCGAGATTCTTGGTTAGCCAACTCCAACCGCAATCTAGAAATCACCAATTCGCTCTCAGCATGATTGGCTTCAGAAGTGCGAAGCTTTTGCATCAATGTTTCGGAGTTCTGTTCCAAAGTCTGCATGATCTCACGCTGACTGTTCAATGTTTGCATAAAGACAGCTTGTGACTGAAGGCACTCGGACAGCTCGGAGCGTAGCTCGCTCATGTGTGAGTTCACATAGGCTTCATGTTGTTCGGCCTGAATTCTTGTTCGTGTTGCTTCGGCTTGTGCCAGATGAACAAGATGCTCCGCTTGCTGTCTTGTTTGCTGTGTTTCGGCTGTGCCTGCGAAACTACATGCTCAGCTTGTTGTCTCGTCTGCTGTGAAACTGCAGTGGCTTGACTCACAGCTTGTTCGGCATTAGCCGTAACATTCGACACATGTCGCTGTGCCTCAGCAGCAATACGTCCTATCAGTCTCGGGTCAGCGCCAATGTTGAGCTGTTGATTGGTTTGATGTAGATGGACAGATGCTGGAGAAGGATTCCTAGCACTTCCAGTGGACGACTCCCCAATGCTGAATATCGCTGGATTAGAAGCTTGTGAACCATGGGGCGAAGATGTCTGCGAACCATGTCGCGAGGTAGGAGTGTTACGCCTAATGGGTGCAATGGTTCTGACAGGGCTTCGTTCCCGGTTGGACGATGACGATGTCGACACTTGGGTGTTATCAGCATTCGGGGCTGCCATGGCAGCAGTGGCTGAACTGCTGGAGGTGGTGAGGCTTAGGTCAGATAACTCCTGCATACTGATTTTACAGGCCGAGCTCGAACCGGATGTGCTCTAGCAAGGAGTACCGCTGCGAGCGAGAGCCGTCCCACTGTCGAGCACGAATGCGAGAGTTACCCAGGCGCTCAATGGCTTGCACAATGTCCCCTGAGTCGTCGAAGTGCCAAATCGTTAAGGGAAGGGGATCCAAGATATTCCCAGCTTCCGTAAACAACGCGTCCAAAAAGGCTGCTTTGGCCCTAGGCCCGAATATCTTAGCCGAGGTGTGGACCAAGCTCACAGACTGAGCAGTATAGCGAGACACGCTTTGAACAAAGTTATATGTCTTGCGCCTGTTGCCAGAGCCCTCTGGAGCGTAGGAACACACCAACAATGCCGCGTCGTGCAAATCCCCAAGCAGGCTGAATATGGATCGAGCCTGTGCAATGTCGACGGCGTCAAGCACTTTGTGCTGATCAAGCGATACCAGACTTACCGATTGCGACTGGGAAATGTTGACGTTACGCAGCAGCTGTTCAGCAAATGTGCGAAGATCGTAAGAATGCTCCACGGGCCAATCCAATGAGTACACCCTGGGCGGCGGTGCAACGGGAGGTGCTACGGGAGGATCGTCAACGACCAAAGCGGCAGGTCTTGCCTTAGGACGTGGCTTTGTCTTAGGCACGGCAACCAAGCCTAAATGAGCTGGCTCCGTCGGAATGGCTGCAACACCAGATGAAGTTGAAGATGGAGCAGCAGCGGCAGATGCAGGAGGTGAAAATGCCCGTTCCTTCGGGACAGCTGCACGACCTGGGGGAGGCGTTGGCGTACGGCTTCCTGATGGAGCCTTTGGTCTAGGAGTTGGGGGCTTAGGAGGAATGTTTATCCCTACTGACCCCGAATCAAACCCCTTTTGTTCGCCTAAGCCAAAAGATGAAGAAGATCGCGCAGGGCTTCGCGAACGCTGACGGGGAGTTGCCTCCTCTTCGTCAGTAGACCATTCAAGAAGCTGTTCTCCTCGCTCAGGTCGAGCGTTGGGCGCTTCCAAATCCTCCCTCCGCCGCCTTATACGCTGAGCCCTTCGCTCACGTTGTCTGGCGCTCCCAGTTGTATTGCCTGCCAAGTCTCCAGATAGCCACGTTAGAATAGCAAGAAATCCGCAGCGGCGACGTGCGTAAACTTGTTTGCTGTGTCCCCCCCTTGCCTGTACTCTCTCTAGGAGGGATGCAAGATCCAAGTTACGTTCTGCCAAAAAGCCTTCCAGGCCCATCAGAGCGTCGTATTGTGGTGAGACAAAGGTAGCGGGCCGCACAGTGTTCAGAGGACTACCTTTAGGCGAAGAAAAGGTTACCCAAATCTAACCCAGGTTGATACCAACTCCCACCACCGCCGGATTTCCCAAGCGGGGTATACACTGTGCAACGCACAACCCCGTGGATTTCCCACAAGGGCAACCTTGAAATCAACACTGCGGGAGCAATTCCGAAGTCTTTGACAATGAATCCGAAAGGAATGATCAATGGTGGAGCGGCAGGGTGCCGTCAACCACCAGCAATGACACTGAGATCTCAAGTGAGGAGAGGGGAACCTCAATCAACACACCAGGAACCTCGAAGTACCAAATACCAGTTTGTGAGGAATCTTATGTTTGTCGCAGGCTGTTCAGGGCAGTGCTCGTAGTTCGGCAAGTGCCGTAACCACAGCGGGTTGGGACGTTGAAGGGAGAGGCCGGGAGCCTCAAATCCGCACACCAACACCCAAACCTCCACTAACCTGCAGCCACTTTGGCTTCCGACTGTACCCCCCTGCCAAGGACAAACCTATCCTACTAACCCGTGAACAGGGCTTTGGGACGCAGGTTGGGGATGCAGATGCCCGACGGATTCACGCCTTTGCGAGAGCAGTCAACTCGAGCACACCGGAAAAGGCCTTGCCCCAGTCCGGCGAAAGATCGGGTCAGGGAAAGTAGCGAGGGATGTCCACTGCCCTAGGTCGTCGTCCCAGGAGCAATAGTTGGGCTTCGTTCCTCGCTCTCTGTTTCCGTCTTCTGACTAGACAACGGAGTAGTCTTACCCACCTGACCTTACACCTAATCTGCTTGAGCTGTTGCTGTGTACGTCGCAACCAATATTCGGGAAACAATCTTGAAAGGACAAACTGCTTGACGGCTTGTTTGCAATCTGAGCACAAGTCGGCGAATGCAGAATCAGAAATTGACAATTCTCGGCAATACTCTCTGAAGTCCTGAAGACTGATGCACATACACTATGGACCAGTCTGATATGGAAAGTGCTGTCGGGGTGGCTCTACTCCACGATAGCACACACGATGGCGTCGGGAGGATTCTCTACCGACAAGATATATGTAGAGTACACGTGAGGCTGTTAACCAGTTGAAAACAGCAAGACAAGGTGCAATGCAACCGTCTTTTGTCTTGAGCCAAATACGTCGATCAAGTCAGCACTTAGCTACACTTATCATGGCCTTCACATATGTACATGAAATGGTACTGGGAAGCGTGTTTCAACAACTGTCTTAGCCACCTTTTCCGGAGCCGAGGCTTCGGAAGCTCGCTTCTTCTCCAGGCCACTTCCATCACCCGGCTTCTTAGTGGACACCTGAAAACCGGCGGCTATATCTTTACTATATGCTATGTCACACACTTGATCGTTGGGCATCTGCATATGTCTAGGCAACAAGCACATATCAAGGCGCGGCCTCGGCTTGCGGCTTGGAAGCTTTGAGAGCAACAGCAGCTGCTTCTCCAGTC